GCCTGTCTCTCGGATGTTGCGAGCCATCAAGAGCGCATTGCACACTGTGCGGGCGTCGGTGGCGTACAGCATGTATGCAAGTCGTCGTGGGTCAGGGGAACTTGGTGTTGCAGCGGCGATGGAGACGGAGTTTGTGGGGGGGCTTGTTGACTCCGTGACCGATGGAGCCTCGGTGTTTTTGTCCGGCGATTTGTCCTGAGCAGCTGCATTGTCAAGGTTGTACGTTGGCGGAGGTGGGCTAGTGGAGTTAGGAGATGCAGTGACTGTATGTTGATCCGAGATGTCGGTCGCGTTAATAGACGCAGCAACTTTGGCCAAGCCTTGGGAAGCGTTGGACGTGGCGAGAGTTGCAAGGTCGGGATTCGTGGGCCGTAGTCGCAACTTGGCCACCAACGACGAGTCAATTGCCACAGCCCCCACGACAAACAGAACGAGTGCCCCAATTTGCGTGCGGCGCCTACCGTTGTTGCTGCCACCACCTTCGTCGGTCATGCAACTTCACCGGTGGAGGGCGTCGCACGAGGAAAATTGAGGTGGTTTCGCCACGAACAACCAGATACGGGAACGCCACCTCCCCCGCTGCACCACGAACAGCCCGACGCCAAAGCACCGACACTAGATGGTTCTGCTGCCAAGCGGTCGAAACATGGACCGTTGCAGCTACGTTGGCTGTTGATTGGCTAGCCAGCGCGACTGTTGGGCAAATGCGACCTGCTACAATGGATCCTTCCTCTTCAACTAGCATGATTCATGCTGGCAGCGCTCAGTTGTGGTCCTTGGCAGACCCCACCCAGTTCGTGGCGGGGCATGGCTGACGCCACTGCACAGGACAGGATTGCAACCACATGTACCAACCTATCGGTTGTACCTGCATTGCGGCCAGAACAACATTACAATGAGGCATGGGTGATGCTAGCCATGGCCGGTCGAACTTTGTGTTGTTGATCGATGAGATGGTTGAATCGTGACTTGCATAGTCTCGTGCGTGCATGGAGTACATGCAGTTAAGTCCATTCGTATGTGTTGGAGCCGTCAGGTGCCATCATGAGGGCGACGACGAGGTTGCACTGAAAACGATTCCAACACAGCGCTGGAGAAAAGGTCGTGCCCGTCCGCTCCATTCCTCGAGGCAGTGAGATCATGTTTGGGCCAAGAAGTATTCTACGCCACATTCGACACGGACGCCGCCAGAAGCGCTTGAGCAGCGCGAAGCTCGTAGTGCAAGGCACGAAATGTTCGCACATCCACGTCAAATGATGTGGTAGCGCTGGACCCACCCAAGGACATTTCGATGGTCGGGATGGGAGGCGCAGCACTTGTTATTGCGTACGACAATTGCCACTTGCAAGGCACGGCAGTCGAGGTTGCCTACGGTCGTTTGCTAGAGCCAACCACCAGGTAGACGGGCGTACCAGTGTGTTGTGCAGCTGCAAATGGCGGCGAAGCGAGTGCTGGTGCAAGTGAAACACGGACGTGAGCGTCCGCGCGGCGTCCGATGGCAAACCTTCACGGACACCACGCAACGTCAGCAAGACTAAGCCCTGGGTGGGGTTGTACCGAGTTGCTGGACTTCAGACAGCAACACGCCTTCCTGGACGTTGTACTTGGCTGCGTGCACGAGAATCCATTTGATCGCCACGAGAATGGCCTACGAACGACGGTTGCAGACGACGTGTTGAGCCGAAATCAACGAGGGAGGGCATTCGCTACCTTGGCGTCGACTTCGCCCACGGCAGCAACGAGATGATCCAAGACCTACGTGTGGCATGAATCTATTCCAAAGCACACACGAATACGTACGTCGTCGTACGAAGCAGCTTTCACGATGGCAGAGACGACAGCATCAGTCACAACATCCAACTCGACGCCATGGTGCACCTGCGGATGCTGGTCATGCAAAACACATGCACTGGTGCACAAACCGACTGCGCAATGCAAGGTATCTCAGCTAGAAGCCATGCCGGGGGTTCCAAGCCGCCGCAGAATCGAAATTTCTACGAACGAAGTCGTCCAGCGCCGGTGCATGCCGCGGTCACGCACCATGCTCCACTCTTGTTCGCGACAAAAAGGGCCTCGCTATATCCGTTGCATCCTAGTATATGATTGGTTGAAATCTCTCGAAAATAAACCCAATCTCCCACATGATTCGTCAGATTTTCGGCAAGATCGCAACGGAATCCTCCAAAGGATGTGGGGCGCACGAGGATGGCACGACGAGGCGACTCGCCAGTCGTCCACAACTACGTTAGGCGCCACCAAGAGCCCCGCCCGCCACGAGCGCTGTACCGCAGGGATGCCTTATACTGGACTAGCAGCGGAATGGCATAGAAAGTGATCGTAGTGGCACACCAACTCATCCTCTTGGTGACGAAGTCGGATTCGTCAAAGTCTAGCGATGGAGACTCGTTTGGTGTGATAGCTTCGACCTGCGTGAACACCAACTCACGCCTAGTGGGGAAAGCCAGCGAGGAATCATAAGCAAAACCCAATCGTGACGGCATTGGCACCACTCAGAGATCGAGGTTACGTCGACATCACGGCCACGAGACAGCTAGGGCCATAGCTTGGGCAGCGTACCTAACTCCGTCAAGTGAGGCAGGGTGCAGACGTTCCCTCCAGGTACTTACGCATAAAGGCTAACTTCGATCGAGGCAAACGGGTACTCGGCGAACGGCCGGACTTCAAACGCTGGGCTGTAGTTGGTATCGTTGCCGAAGCACCTGTCACGACATTGCGCATGAGGCAGGCGTGAACGGCGTCCAGGATGCACCGAAAATCCTCGAACGCCTCGCCTCCATGCGCGAATCGCACGACGTAGTCGACGTCGGCCTTGGATCGTCGAAAGTCTTGAATGTGGCTCCCTATGCACCAAGCGTTAGCTTTGCAGCAAGAGAACTGTCGAAAACGATGGGTACAGAGCAGGGGGACATGTGCGGCTCCTGTCAACTTGAACGTGTTCCGATGCAAAAACAGAATCTGGCCATCGGGGTCGTGCTGCACCATGGTATGACCACAAAACAAGTCGAAGCTACGTATCCACCAGAGTAAACATGACCTCCCACACAGTCAGGGTGCTCGATCGATGGATAGCGTACTCGCGATGCTTGAGTCCCGCCGCTCCCGGCGGCTTTTCGATCATATGAAATGGATGGTTCGCTTGCAGCCTACATGAAAACGCCTTGGTTGGAGGGTACGACGAGGCTGAAACAGCGCGAACCAAGCCAGGCGAAACAGGTCCTTGTCACCCCAAATCAGGTCCATGTCGTGCAGCAAGCGCGGCAGCCCGAACGCCAACCGCATGAGGACGGCGAGGGGTTTCCTGCTCTTCTGCGCATGCAATGCTGAAGGACGAGGTGGCTGCAATAGCACGTACCCGGCGGTCAATCACCAATTGCCCCGACTCTTGCTCAAACATGTCAACAAACGGGATGCCAAGTATCTCCCACAACAAACTGCGGTCCGTCACGCCAAAGATCGTGTTGTTGGGCTGCCAGAAATCTGGCCAAAACATCGCTCCTGCCACAAACATCGTCATGGCAATCATGCAAGCATCGTGCGGGTCGGTACCTGTTTGGACGAACTCGGGGCGCGAAAACAAGTAGGATGGGTCGCGAACGGCAAAGTTATCGGCATCCAGGAATAACACTTGATCAAACAAACTGGGGGTTGACGGCGCGAGGCGTTAGTGTTCCTCGCGCGAGAGGACGTGACCAAAACGAGAGGCGCTCCCCGACGGTACCTGTGGTAGATTGCGTACGGCTTGACGTAAAACCTGCGCGCGAGGGGGTCTTCAACGTATCGAACCATGCAATTGTACTGCTCCATGACACGTGATCATATGTATTGGATGGACGAGACGTGGCGTACCGATTCAACGAGCGCGTGCAGGATTGCGTCCGTCGCGAGCATTTCTTCTTGGACGATCCAGATTTCAATGGGCAGCGCGCATCCCACTGCGCGAAGCTACTCGAGCATGAGACGCATGCGTCTGCTGACCAGCACCACCACGAACCTGTCGAATCGCAGCATATCCAGTCGCTAGTGCGTTCGGGTACAAGCTCATTACGATGCCTCTTTTGGTGTTCCATCCGCGGAGGTTCTGCGCCGGCACGGACGGCGCATGCGTGTACACAAATGTTTTGGTGTCGACGGCGTAATCCCAAATGTTGCTACGAAAGATGCTCCTCATAAGCTGAACGAGTGCCGCGTCCGCGCGCGCGTGACGACGACGACGTGCGTACGAAGTCTGGATGCACTGAAATGGTGCGCGCACGCCGTCGCATCGCGTGTAGAGTCGTCGAATCACTCCTGTCTCTCGGTGCTGGATCGCGCAGAAGCCGGGGCTTCCTGAAACCAAGCGCGTGGGTGACAGGGCGAAGTCGAGGGCAAGCTCATGCCCGTACCTGTGGGAATTGTAACGTGGCAGTCGTGTATTGGCAACGGATCGATGGGCGCAGTGTCTGCGTCGCAATTGCCTACGGCATTGATCGTTGGTCGTGGAATTTTGGCAGCATGGACGAGGACGGCGGCAAGGCGTACCCGTTTCGTACCAACCCACGCAAGTGTAATCGGATCGGTCGAATGCTTGCCGCCAATCGGGTAGTTCAATCGGTGGGGGTGTTGACGGCGCGGATGGCGTGGGTGGCGGCACCACGGCCTACGACGTGGTCCAACATGAGAGCTAGGTACTGGAGAGTCGTTGTAATTCACACCAAGTTGACATGACGATGCACCGCAGTGTCGGCTAACCGCACGTTAAGCTGATGCAGCTGCCATGCCAGCCACACAGACACGATGAGCAAAGTCGTGACCGCCCCACCAAGCGCCGTCACGAGCGGCGGTACTTTCATCGTTTGCAGGCAGTTTCCGCATTCGGTTACGGCCGTTTCGAATCAGGACTGTTATCTGGAATGGCGTGGCACACTTGTCATGCAGGATTTCCTACTCTCCATGCAATGCCATAGCCATAAGGGAGTCGATTGAGGCGGGCGATGGCTTCGATGCCGTTCATAGCTTTTTAGAATACCGAGCGTTTGTTCAGGTGCTTGACAACTTTCTCGGACTTGCGATGGTAGCTGATCGACATGCTGCAATGTAGTAGTATTCATCGTCCAGCGTCGAAGGACTTCACCCGACGTCGCTGAGCACAACACTTGTACTTCATGTCCGAGTCCCGGCATTGTCCTCTATGACGCCCGACAAAGAAGGCATGCGTGTGACGGCCAAGTTGAGCCATCGAGAGTTTGATGTGGTGTGGGCAATCGCCGAGCTACCGTACTGCGTGAAATCGGATGTATGATGACGTTGTGGAAGTTTGAGCGATGCACATGCCGTTCAGTCTCTCCTTGGATTGTACTGCGGAACTGCTGCGTCTTTAATACTGAGAAACGATTGCAGCTATCCTGGTCCAAACAAACTCTTTCGATAGAAGGGACGGTCTCGTTGTGCCACCAAATGTGCTTCTTACAAATATCACGATGTTGTACGCACCACGCGGACTGGAGGTCCGTAAGCCCTTGTCACACAACCCCAACTAGAGATTCCACATGTGCTAGTGCGTCGAGAAAGGCCAGCCGTGTGATGTCGAACGTTTGCAGTGAAAGTACTTTTTGACTGATCGCATTGTCAAACTCAAAACATATCAGTCGTCGACTCATGGACGAAATCGTCACTGAGCCACGTGCAGTAAATTGACAAAACGCGACCCCAATTTCAGTAGTGCATGTCGTCCAAGAACACGGCATGCCCGCTCGTCACTCTGTTTCACCAAGGCATAAACCGTGGTGCATCTTTCACGAGGCCGCATGCTCCGGATGCCAGCGGCGGAAGTGTGGCAGGGAGGGCCAAGAAGCAGATGATGGGGATGGCGAATGTGCGTCACCAACATTGCTCGTCGTACATGCAGCTAACGTCCGGTTCATGAAGAGCATTCGAATCGTGTGGATGTCGGCTCAAGAGGACGATTTTCAGATTCGTCGTTCTGATGTCGTATTATGCCGAGAAAAAAAGCAAACGCATCAAGCAACGACGTTACGAACACGCAGTGCGCATCGTCCAAACTCTGCTAACAAAACCCACGCAGGGTCGTTTGCTACCGAGAACGCTTCAAATTTGCCGTAAAGGACGACGTACCAGGCCACAACGATTGTGCCTTCGGTCATGGTCAAGTGTATTTTTGATGGACAGTTACTGTCATAGT